TGGACGTGCGCTAGGGAGACGGAGGGTCCTACACTAGAAAAAGGAATTCCCAGAAACGCTGCGTAGGACGTAGGAGGGATAAGGAAGGATGGTAGGTGGGATATGGGGTGAGGAGATCGGTTCCAGAGGAAGGAATTGCAAAAGGGCGGAGGGGAGGTCTTATTTGCAAAATTGTTCCCCGAAGGCAGGACGTGCTATGTGCCTGTTCAGTCAGGTATTGCCGCTGTCCCATCCTATTGCGAAATACTCACATACGGGAATGCACTTATTGCCGTAGATGGACTCTACCCGTTGTGTAACCTTGCCCGAAAAAAAAAATAATAAGTCAGTCTGAAAACCCTCAAGAAAATTGTTTTGTATTTAGGTCGTTTCCTTGATTCTTGGAATGATTTTCTTTGACACGAGATTTACTAAAGACACTCTCATGAAGGCTCAAAGGAGCCGCTATACGAGCAGTTGCTGACATGTCGTTCATTTACTTATTTCCAAGTCTTTATGTAAGTTGTTATTATTGCCTTTTGCCTATACAGGCAAATTCCGGCAATTGAGCAGCGCATTGAAATAGAACCGGATGGGCTTGAAATATACCCGGTTACAAAAGTACATCCTTAACTGGTTGGCCAACTTTCGTCGTCTCAGGTTTCATCGGGGATTTGCCAGCTGTAATTCGAGAATATCAGGCGAATACATACGCTCCAAGTGCCTATTTCATAGCAGTTCTCCTAACCGATGTGCGTATTGCCTTTACGGTTTGTACTATATAAATAAATAAATAAGCCAATAAATAATAAATATAGGGATTTCCCATGAAATCTAAGGAGATCCATCTTAGAAGTCATCTTAGAAGTGCAAAAAATTTTCAGACAGTACAATTTCTTATACACCCGACAGCCTACTCAGTTATTATATATCTCATGGCAGGTAGATTTTTGGATATTATCATAGATTGGAGTGGCCCACTGGCTATCACAATCAGGGACGTCGTATTTATGCCGGGGATTTTCAAGGTAGGGTGGGGAAGTCGTGTTTCGGGAAAAGGTCTTATACAGTGCGTAACAAAAGTATGTGGACACCTCAAATTTTGATTTTGCGAAGTTGCATTTGGATTTTGCGATCTGAGACCATCACTGTTAGATTCCTCATAAGCGAAAGTATAGGAATGCACTACTTCTGAATACATTGTGAACTACTGTTCAATTATTTATTGTTTTGAAAAAATTTCTTAATAACAAAAGTATGTGGACACCTGAGAAAGTTCAAAGTTTGACTCCAAATCTGCAACCCATATCTATCGTCTCTGCTCCCCATTAATCTGTACTCATGCCTCGTCGTGGCAGTACTCTCTCCGAAGACGAACAATCTCAGATTCGAGCTCTCAGTGCTGCTGGACACTCAAATAGAGAAATTGCAAGACAGCTCGGACGTTCGGCGACGTGCGTTGGTAAATACCTCCAGAATCCTGATGGCTACCATTCAGCACATATTTCGGGGCGTCCTCGATCTTTGTCCGCAAAAGACATCAGAAGAATAGCGCGGGTCGCCTCAAACTCCCCCCTTTCTGTGAAATAGATCCATGCTGCAATTAATCTACCGGTCTCAAAAATGACGATATGGCGCTATGTTCGATCAAATGAGCATATCACACGAGAGACCATGAAGAAAGCTCCTCGCCTGACTACCCAACACCAGGTGGCGAGAGTGAACTTCGCGCGTGCAACCATGGCGACGTCGGGGACAGAGGTGAAGCTTTTTGAGAGTATAAAATCCGAACAGGCAACCCCATGCGCTTTTCAATTCTAAGTTATCTTCACTAATCGAAAAAAGGCCGATGTCGGATGGTCCAGATGGATATCGGCTGCCTATTGAGAACTATTATTCGTCGCGATCCATTGCTGTTCTCGAGGCGCGAAATTTCGGAGGCGGCTCTTTGATGGTGTGGGGTGGTTTTGGAACCAGCGGAAAGTTAGAGCTCGCCTTCCCATCGTGCCGTATGAACAGTCAGGAATATCAAGGAGTGCTCGAATCCTAACCTCTTTTTTCATGACTGCAGCAGGACAAAGTTCGCCGTGCAGTTTAAATTCTACTATAAAAAATGGCTACAAGCAAGTGGTAATGAAAGTGATGTTGGCCGGCATGTTCTCCTGACTGCAACCCAATCGAAAACCTGTGGGGAATTATGGTTCGACGAATTTACATGAACAATCGGCAGTACAACAGCGTGCGAGACCTCAAGGAGGCTGTAGTGCTGCATGGGATTAAATCGACGAAGACACTATCACAAATGTTGTCCACAGCATGCCAGACAGGAATGTTCGAAGTAATAGCGAACGCGGAGGAGCATAACGTATAACTAATTTCCATGATACTTTGTTTTTTGTTAGTGTCCACATACTTTTGTTATTAAGAAATTTTTTCAAAACAATAAATCATTGCTCAATAGTTCACAATGTGCTCGTAGGTAGTGCATTCCTATACTTTCGCTTATGAGGAATTTAACAGTGATGGTCTCAGATCGCAATATCTAAAGGCAGTTTCGCAAAATCAAAATTTGGGGTGTCCACATACTTTTGTTACGCACTGTATAATGGTCCCTGCCTTCCGAGCGGGATGAAGGTGGGCAAGATTGTTGGCTCACGTCGACAGCAAGAAAACTAAGCGAAAGTTTACAACAGAGGTGTGGTAAATGACACCAAAAGACGTTTTTCTCTAGGGCAAGTACAACCCCCGCCTCTGTCGACTTGGTACGACCCACCTCCTTGGGGATCCCGGATGTACGACGTACCCTATTATTGTGGCAATACCACATGGTGTTCCCCCTAAAAAATGCTGGCTTTAAATTTTGCAGGCTATTCTAGATCGTTCTCACAATACCTTCTTTTTAATTTGTTAAATATTATAATCGCAAACATTAGCACGTCACTTGGTGAGTACGGTATTGTCGCTTCTTTTCTCAGGTAGTTGAACTTCATGTAGGAAGAATTCTTCATTTCATGTTCATTTCTGCGAGGTACATAACAGAACAATCGTTATATGCTGGTGGGTGTGGCCTGCGACGCCGCGCCCACAGGCGAGTTGTCATGCCTGGCTGTAAGGTCGGAGATGGAAAAATTCGATAATATCTGTCATGCAATCTGCTTGAGTTCCTATGACTTCGCTACTTCTACTGCACCTCGGTTTTTCGCCGCGCACGGCCGCAAGATGTTTGCTAAGGCCGCGGCCAATCATAATTTGGCGCGCACGGGAACGCGGCAAATTATGATTGCTCCTTCGTGTCCCACTTTGAGCGCTATGTGGCACACCTTAGCAGCTTGGCTTCTTGGGATCCCACCTCTTAGGTACTCGTGAAATGTATGTTCGAGGGCTTAATGTTGCCATTTTACAGTCTTCTTTTACAGCTTATGCATCGGCTTCGATCTGTGGAAATTTGGCGGTTGCCATTGTACTGACTCCAGCGCTTATTCAACCTATTTTTGTTTTTGGACGTAGATTTTGTTTGGCAAAGTGTTTCACATGTTATCACTGAATTGGTCGGGGAGTGTCAGCAGCGTGTGGGTTTTGGCGCCCCTTTTCCAACACTCGTTGAACGACGGCCGAAAGCGCACTGATCGATGGAAAATCAGTTGGCGCGCCAATCCAATGCCTCGCTGACACGCTCCGACTGACTTATGTGGTGAGCACAGGTTCGCAGCACAAGTGGCACTCACTGCACGGCCCCATGGTCCGAAATCCCAAACCAAATCGCCCAGAATCGGATTGCCAATAGTATCGACA